TCTTCTCAATTTGTCTGTCATAGTTGACGTGTACCTATGATGAAAATTACAGGCCTCTCTCATCTTTTTAAGTGGGAGAACTTGCACAATTGGTGGCTGACTAAATACTTTTTTTCCCCCACTGTAAATGTGATGAGTTTGCGGTATATTTCAGAGATAAGATAAAAAATTAGGTATAAGTCAAGAAAGACCTGATGAGAAGTTTGATGATATGTGCCCTAGTCTACACTTTAAAAATGAGTGGTCCAACAAGGGTTCTTCTAAGATCCTAAAATTTCCTTGAAGAACCTTAGGGTTCTTGGCTCTGAAAAATGCCCCCAAAAGGTTCTTCCAAGAACCCCAAAGGAGGTGGGGTTCATCGAGGAACCTCCTTAGTTGGAGGGGGTTCTTGCAGGAACCTAACTGCCCAACTGAAACATTTGGATTTGAATTTGAGATGACAGCAGGTGCAGGCACTTAACTGAAAAATTGAAAAATCTCCTCAATCTAAGGTAAGGTTTCTCCCTTGTATGATCTAAATTGATACTGTTTTATGATGACCCGTGGTCCTCTGTAGCTCAATTGGTAGAGCATGGCACTTGTAACGCCAGGGTAGTGGGTTTGATTCCCGGGACCACCCATACGTAAAAATTTATGCACACATGACTGTAAGTCGCTTTGGATAAAAGCATCTGCTAAATGGCATATTATTATCTTTTCATTTTTGTACAAATGGCAGTGTTGTTTGACACTTTCTCCCTTTAAAATGATTTCTAAAACAGAAAATTTACACAATTCAATGGATATCAATCAACAAAGACGTAAGAATATGTTAAAGGCTATAGCTGCATTGGGTGCAGATGACTGAACTGATCACTTTTGTGTGTGTCTGAGTCTGCAGGTATACTGATCAGGAGGCACACAAAGGTATGTACAATTGGTATTGGTATGTTGTGCAGATCACATGTATTATCTACAGTTAATTTGGGTTTCTCTAAAACCTTATAGGACTCAGTCACAGCAGCCTCCTTTACCTCTTCAATGAAAATCCCAGAGGCTTCTACATTATGGACAAGGTATTTGTATAAAAACCATTATCAAAAGTGAACAGTTTTTTTTCATTCACATTTACCACATAAACGAAGGTATGAATACTGCCATGTGCATGTTTTTTTTTTTTTATCATCTGAATAATTACAATTGTTTGGATTCACACACTTCACCCTCCCTACTTCTCTGATGAATATAACAGGAAACCTGTTCGATCACCATGCACTGCAAAATCATTCTGGCTATGGATACGTAGAACATCAACACATTAACATCAACACAACAGAGGATATACAGTGCCTTGCAAAAGTATTCATTCCCCTTGGCGTTTTTCCTATTTTGTTGCATTACAACCTGTAATTTAAATGGATTTTTATTTTGATTTAATGTAATGGACATACACAAAATAGTCAAAATTGGTGAAGTGAAATGAAAAAAATAACTTGTTTCAAAAAAGTATAAAAAAATAAATAACGGAAAAGTGGTGCGTGCATATGAAATTGTTTTGAGATCAAATGTTTCATCGATGAGAAAGCTTGCAGAATGTCGGCTAAAATACATCTCCTTCCATCTTCTCCCGCTGCTGGCCACTGGGCTTCCTCTCACTACCATATTTGCTAGTGAGTGGAAATGGCCAAGCAGATGCTTCACATTTTATTAATCCGGTGAAATATCTGTCTGATTGTCCTATCTGTGATTTGGCCTCCCTTGATAAAAAAAAGTATATAATAATAGCCAATCAGCATTGAGCTAAACTGAGCGGAGCTCAACTGTGAATGGTCCTGGCGCACCCAATTTTTTTTTAAAGGGAAGCCAGTTTGGGTATCGAGAGACAATGTGGCCCCATCCAACACCACCCCTGAGTGCAACAAGCCAGGGACTCAGCCCCCGTAATAGAGTCAGTGGTATGGAATCCCAGTTGAGAGTGGGGAGTCGACCAAGCAGAGACAGCAAGGATGGTTCATCAGTTCAGTACCTTGTAACCTGATGCCTCTCTGCTTGGCTCTAAGAATTAAGGAATTAGGGAACTAACGTCCTGTCCAGGGGGTATAGGCCACTTGTATATCAAGCTGCCTTATGTGACAGAAACAGGAGATGTTCAAACAAGGATTATTTGTCTAAGGCTTAGCTACGTAACGTTACTTACTTTAACTTACAAGACTGAAACCAAGTCTAATTCTCTCACATAAAAGAGGAGCTCTGAAGGAGAAAGCCCTGTATTCATCTGTTTTCTTAGATATTGGGGGGGAACAAGGAGTCCTGCATCTTGTGGTTCTCTTCTGTTTTCCCTTTCTAACACATACCATTCTCAACCTCTCACCTTATCTATCTATTAAAATATATATATAAGGAACATCAGTGGGCGTTCACACGCACACACACACACATCTAAATATACAGCTGAAGTCAGAAGTTTACATACACTTAGGTTGGAGTCATTAAATTTGTTTTTCAACCACTCCACAAATTTCTTGTTAACAAACTATAGTTTTGGCAAGTCGGTTAGGACATCTACTTTGTGCATGACACAAGTAATTTTTCAACAATTGTTTACAGACAGATTTTTCACTTATAATTCACTGTATCACAATTCCAGTGGGTCAGAAGTTTACATACACTAAGTTGACTGTGCCTTTAAACAGCTTGGAAAATTCCAGAAAATGATGTCATGGCTTTAGAAGCTTATGATAAGCTAATTGACATCATTTGAGTCAATTGGAAGTGTACCTGTGGATGTATTTCAAGGCCTACCTTAAAACTCAGTGCCTCTTTGCTTGACATCATGGGAAAATCAAAAGAAATCAGACAAGACCTCAGAAAAAAAATGGTAGACCTCCACAAGTCTGGTTCATCCTTGGGAGCAATTTCCAAATGCCTGAAGGTACCACGTTCATCTGTACAAACAATAGTACGCAAGTATAAACACCATGGGACCACGAAGCCGTCATACCGCTCAGGAAGGAGACGCGTTCTGTCTCCTAGAGATGAACGTATTTTGGTGCGAAAAGCAAATCAATCCCAGAACAACAGCAAAGGACCTTGTGAAGATGCTGGAGGAAACAGGTACAAAAGTATCTATATCCACAGTAAAACGAGTCCTATATCGACATAACCTGAAAGGCCGCTCAGCAAGGAAGAAGCCACAGCTCCAAAACCGCCATAAAAAATCCAGACTACGGTTTGCAACTGCACATGGGGACAAAGATCGTACTTTTTGGAGAAATGTCCTCTGGTCTGATGAAACAAAAATAGAACTGTTTGGCCATAATGACCATTGTTATGTTTGGAGGAAAAAGGGGGAGCTTGCAAGCCGAAGAACACCATCCCAACCATGAAGCATGGGGGTGGCAGCATCATGCTGTGGGGGTGCTTTGCTGCAGGAGGGACAGGGGCACTTTGCAAAATAAATGGCATCATGAGGAAGGAAAATTATGTGGATATATTGAAGCAACATCTCAAGACATCAGTCAGGAAGTTAAAGCTTGGTCGCAAATGGGTCTTATGGACAATGACCCCAAGCATACTTCCAAAGTTGTGGCAAAATGGCTTAAGGACAACAAAGTCAAGGTATTGGAATGGCCATCACAAAGCCCTGACCTCAATCCCATACAACATTTGTGGGCAGAACTGAAAAAGCATGTGCGAGCAAGGAGGCCTACAAACCTGACTCAGTTACACCAGCTCTGTCAGGAGGAATGGGCCAAAATTCACCCAACTTATTGTGAGAATCTTGTGGAAGGCTACCCGAAACGTTTGACCCAAGTTAAACAATCTAAAGGCAATGCTACCAAATACTAATTGAGTGTATGTAAACTTCTGACCCACTGGGAATGTGATGAAATAAATAAAAGCTGAAATAAATCATTCTCTACTATTATTTTGACATTTCACATTCTTAAAATAAAGTGGTTATCCTAACTGACCTAAGACAGGGCATTTTTACTAGGATTAAATGTCAGGAATTGTGAAAAACAGAGTTTAAATGTATTTGGCTAAGGTGTATGTAAACTTCCGACTTCAACTGTACATAACACATCCTAACATACAAAACACCACACTAAACACAGCAGATAAAACACATCTAGGACTACACACTAACCAATCAAACAAGGGTCAGGGTTGTATCAACCATTATCATACTTAATGCCTATCCAAACATCTCCACATGCGCATAGGGGGTAGGTCTAACATATTCATCCTGGCACTATTCTTTACTTTTCAAGAGAAGGGAAAGGAAACATTTAGGGGAGTGGAAAGGAAGGAAGGGATGAGAGGAGCAGTGAGGATACAAATAGGGGAGGGGAGAGGAGAGAGACGTGAAAAAGGGGAAGGGATAGTGGTGGAGAGGGTTCGACTTTATATTAGGAGAGAGTGTTCCACGATTTTAAAAGAGTTCCACTTATTTATTGTTTTTGGTGTTTTTTAAAGGAAAAAATTATACAAATGAAATCTAAGCAGCCAATTACGTTATTTGTTTTATATCTCTCATGCCATATTCCCATTGCTAACGTTATAGTTATTGCTATTCCATTACTTCAGTTCCTTTGCTATAGTTTCTTTAGTCTGGTGGCCAGTTAGTATATGAAGAACAAAATATTTCCATTCTTCCCATCACGGACTGGTAGAACTGGGACACCAGGTGGGTACAATAATTATCAAGTAGAATCTAAGTACTCAGATCCTCCATACACGGAGCTCTAGCCGCTGTCCTCTACGTTCTATGAGGGCAAAATTAATAGCTGATAACACAATTCATGTTTGTATTTACATCATGTAATGAATGTAGTGCTCAGTATAAAGTATATTCACTGGCGAATTGTAGCTAGTCAGCAACTGATTCTGTGGAAATCAAGTCCAGTCTGCTGTAGAATTCGACGTTGTAGTGAACCGGACTATGACGTTACTTTGACAAAATCGGTGTCGGCTGCTATGAAGCTCCCGTGGCTTTATAAAACAGGAAGTAGAATTACGTTTGTTGTCACTGTCACATGCTGAAGTCAAGCTCGATCAGCTGACTGCATTCCTTCCCCTTTTTAATGGTTAGATTTTCCTTCTCCAATTGAACGTTTTCGGTGGGTGAAGAACATTATTTATATTATTCAGACCTTTTGGCGTCAATTGTTAACACCAACCTGAAGGTAGCGTAGTGAGATCGCCCGCAAAATATCGCGGTTTGGGTGATTGAGTGGATCATGAACGGACACGCTATTCTCTACACCGGGGTCACTTTGGCCTTCTGGAGTACCATTCTCATCGTCGGTAAGAAAACGTTGTATATTTGCTAGCTAATGTAATGGGTTTAGTTAGCTAATGATTATAGTAAATATATACTTATTTTAATAAAGTCACTCGTTTTTATTCATTGATTGTAAATGTCTTTGCTTGACAGATGCTGTGCTACTTGCTAACTAACGTAACGTTGTCCCGCTGCGCTACGTTAGCTAGTTTAGTTGGATCTGCAGTGATGTGCTAGCTAGTTGACAGCTGTCATTATGTTTCAGGATCCCTAGTTATTTAGCTTGCTAGCTTCCTTAAATTGTATATTGTTATTTACGTTTGTGGGATTGTCGTCCAAAACCTTGTTTAGCCATTTGTTTGTAAGAATTCGACAAAATGCTTACAGGAAGTATCTAGCTAACTAGTTAATGTTAGTTAGTTAGCTAGCTAGCAAGCAAGTAAGCTAACTAGCTAATGTTAGCACATCACTGTAGAGTTAAAGTTAGCAAATTTTCGTCTGCATAATATAAGGCTACCCCGCACTAACAGCATAACGTTACCATAGAAAACGTATATACCACAACATAGCTAAATAAATCAAGCTAGCTTGGTTGCTACATTCAGAAAAATAGGAACCGAAGCACTTCTCATGTGAGGGTGAGCTATCACTCTTATCCTCTGACACTTCATAATTTCTGACACATTTTGGTTCTGTAACTCAGTGGCTTGGCTTTACATGTACTGTACGGAACTGTTCTGTACTGCAACACACATACATATACATACAGTGTACACACACACGAACACACACATACTCATGAAGATGTTTGCACTTTTATTCTGCATTTTTCAGGTATCTGCTACACAATCTTCGACCTTGGATTCCGCTTCGATGTGGCATGGTTAGTATGACAGTCTCTTGTCTTAGTTAGAACAGTAGGCTATATCACAGGCATAAGAATATAGGGTCATATTCTGAGTCTGGTGGTGATTACTAGTAGAATTCCAGTCAGGTGGTATTTCATAAGTGTTGACCTAGACTAAAACCTGAATGTTTGATTTTCATAGTAAAATGGTACTCTCTCTCTCCCTCAGGTTCTTGACAGAAACGTCGCCTTTCATGTGGGCGAACCTTGGGATTGGCTTGGCCATCTCGCTCTCTGTTGTCGGAGCAGCTTGGTGAGTATTCTTAATTTCCTGCTTTGAGTGTTGCTTCAGAAGAGATTGTCCAATATGAATTTGGAGTAGGGAATTTCTGAAATTAGATTTGAAAATTCAAATAGCAACTAGTGTCTTGTCCCCATCCTCTTCCCTATTTCATGCAGGCTATATTACTCCTCCTGGATGGCAGGAGTATCATGTTATTGTATCACTGTTTTTATGTTCTGCTTTATGTAGGGTTGATCTGATTTTATATGATTAAATCGAATATCGTGATTTGACATTGATGATATATTGTGATGTGCTAGACTATACTCTATTTGAACTTTACAGTTAGGCTGTGTCAATATGTTAAATGAAGTCTAAATTAATTAACTAAACCTTATTTTTTTTTCACCAAACTAAGATTATTTAATGAGAATACCACTATAATATTGAAAATAAACACATTGCACAGTCTGGAATTATCTAGTCATTAACGACGCAAAACGATTATATCGGATATCACAATATTTGGAGTAACATACTGTAGAAGTCGCTCTGGATAAGAGCGTCTGCTAAATGACTAAAATGTAAATGTAGAAGAGGTCCCCCAAATATCACTCAATTCTAGTTTTATGTTAATTAATTTTTATTTTTATTTATTTAACTAGGCAAGTCAGTTAAGAACAAATTCTTATTTACAATGACTGCCTACACCGGCCAAACCCGGACGACGCTGGGCCAATTGTGCGCAGCCCTATGGGTTTTGATACAGCCTGGAATCGAACCAGGGGGTCTGTAGTGACGCCTCAAGCACTGAGATGCAGACTGCTGCGCCACTCGGGAGCCCGTTCATAATGAATTGTGTCCTCCTTGTTTTACAGGGGCATTTACATCACAGGTTCCAGCATCATAGGAGGTGGTGTAAAAGCACCACGGATTAAAACAAAGAATTTGGTCAGGTAAGCTATTAAGTGAAACTGTCAATATGGGCCAGTTTCTCAGACCCAGATTAAGCCTACCCCTGGACTAAAATCACCATTAAAAATGCTTTGTAGTCTAGGCTTAATCTTTGTCTAGGAAACTAGCCTAAAAACGTATTTGCGTGCTGTGTGTGTGTGTATATATATATATATATACACTACCAGTCAAAAGTTTGGACACACCTACTCATGCAAGGGTTTTTATTTATTTTTACTATTTTTTTACATTGTAGAATAATAGTGAAGACATCAGAACTATGAAAGAACACATATGGAATCATGTAGTAACCAAAAAAGTGTTAAACAAATCAAAATATATTTTATGTTTGAGATTCTTCAAATAGCCACCCTTTGCTTTGATGACAGCTTTGCACACTCTTGGCATTCTCTCAACCAGCTTCATGAGGTAGTCACCTGGAATGCATTTCAATTAACAATTTGTGGAATTTCTTTCCTTCTTAATGCGTTTCAGCCAGTCAGTTGTGTTGTGACAAGGTAGGAGGGAGGGTTTACAGAAGATAGACCTATTTGGTAAAAGACCAAGTCCATATTATGGCAAGAACAGCTCAAATAAGCAAAGAGAAACGACAGTCCATCATTACTTTAAGACATGAAGGTCAGTCAATACAGAACATTTCAAGAACTTTGGAAGTTTCTTCAAGTGCAGTTGCAAAAACCATCAAGCGCTATGATGAAAATGGCTCTCATGAGGACCACCACAGGAATGGAAGACCCAGAGTTACCTTTGCTGCAGAGGATAAGTTCATTAGAGTTACCAGCCTCAGAAATTGCAGCCCAAATGCTTCTCAGAGTTCAAGTCACAGACCCATCTCAACATCAACTGTTCAGAGGGGACTGTGTGAATCAGGCCTTCATGGTTGAATTGCAGCAAAGAAACCACTACACCAATAAGAAGAAGAGACCTGCTTCGGCCAAGAAACACAAGCAATTGGCATTAGACCGGTGGAAATGTGTCCTTTGGTCTGGAGTCCAAATTGGAGATTTTTGGCAGTGTCTTTGTGAGACGCGGTGTGGGTAAACGGATGATCTCTGCATGTGTGGTACTCACCGTAAAGCATGGAGGAGGAGGTGTTATGGTGTGGGGGTGCTTTGCTGGTGACACTCTCTACGATTTATTTACAATTCAAGGCACACTTAACCAGCATGGCTACCACAGCATTCTGCAGCAATACGCCATCCTATCTGGTTTGGGCTTAGTGGGACTATCATTTGTTTTTCAACAGGACAATGACCCAACACACCTCCAGGCTATGTAAGGGCAATTTTACCAAGAAGGAGAGTGATGGAGTGCTGCATCAGATGACCTGGCCTCCACAATCCCCCGACCTCAACCCAATAGAGATGGTTTTGGGATGAGTCGGACGGCAGAGTGAAGGAAAAGCAGCCAACAACTGCTAAGCATATGTGGGAACTCCTTCAAGAATGTTGGAAAAGCATTCCAGGTGAAGCTGGTTGAGAGAATGCCAAGAGTGCGCAAAGCTGTCATCAAGGCAAAGGGTGGCTATTTGAAGAATGTCAAATATAAAATATATTTTGATTTGTTTAACACTTGTTTTGGTTACTACATGATTCCATATGTTATTTCATTGTATTTATGTCTTCACTATTATTCTACAATGTAGAAAATAATATAAATAAAGAAAAACACTAGAATGAGTAGGTGTGTCCAAACTTTTGACTGTAAGTCAGCAGTCTTTCCCATCAATGTATTACTGTGTTAAATGCTATTGTCTCATCCTGCCCACAGCATTATCTTCTGTGAGGCCGTAGCTATATATGGGATCATCATGGCAATCGTTATAAGTAACATGGCTGAGGTAAGCATGAGAGGTGGCTTATGATATGATAATCATTTGTGTCCTTTTTAACAGTGGTGGAAAAAGTACCCGATTGTCATACTTGAGTAAAAGTAAAGACTCCTTTAATAGAAAAAAATGACCACTCCACAAATTTCTTGTTAACAAACTATAGTTTTGGCAAGTCGGTTAGGACATCTACGGTACTTTGTGCATGACACCAGTAATTTTTCCAACAATTGTTTACAGACAGATTATTTCACTTATAATTCACTGTATCGCAATTCCAGTGGGTCAGAAGTTTACATAGACTAAGTTGACTGTGCCTTTTAAACAGCTTGGAAAATTCCAGAAAATGATGTCATGGCTTTAGATGCTTCTGATAGGCTAATTGACATAATTTGAGTCAATTGGAGGTGTACCTGTGGATGTATTTCAAGGCCTACCTTCAAACTCAGTGCCTCTTTGCTTGACATCATGGGAAAATCTAAAGAAATCAGCCAAGACCTCAGAAAAAAAAATTGTAGACCTCCACAAGTCTGGTTCATCCTTGGGAGCAATTTCCAAATGCCTGAAGTTACCACGTTCATCTGTACAAACAATAGTACGCAAGTATAAACACCATGGGACCACGCAGCCGTCATACCGCTCAGGAAGGAGACGTGTTCTGTCTCCTAGAAATTAATGTATTTTGGTGCGAAAGGTGCAAATCGATCTCAGAACAACACTAAAGGACCTTTTGAAGGAAACAGGTACAAAAGTATCTATATCCACAGTAAAACAAGTCCTATATCGACATAACCTGAAAGGCCGCTCAGCAAGGAAGAAGCCACTGCTCCAAAACCACCATTAAAAAAAGCCAGACTACGGTTTGCAACTGCACATGGGGACAAGATTGTACTTTTTGGAGAAATGTCCTCTGGTCTGATGAAACAAAAATAGAACTGTTTGGCCATAATGACCATCGTTGTTTGGAGGAAAAAGGGGGGGCTTGCAAGCCGAAGAACACCATCCCAACCGTGAAGCACAGGGGTGGCAGCATCATGCTGTGTGGGTGCTTTGCTGCAGGAGGTGACTGGGGCACTTCACAAAATAAATGGCATCATGAGGAAGGAAGATTATGTGGATATATTGAAGCAACATCTCAAGACATCCGTCAGGAAGTTAAAGCTTGGTCGTAAATGGGTCTTCCAAATGGACAATGACCCCAAGCATACTTCCAAAGTTGTGGCAAAATGGCTTAAAGACAACAAAGTCAAGGTATTGGAGTGGCCATCACAAAGCCCTGACCTGAAGCCTATAGAAAATATGTGGGCAGAACTGAAAATGCATGTGTGAGCAAGGAGGCCTACAAATCAGTTACACCAGCTCTGTCAGGAGGAATGGGCCAAAATTCACCCAACTTATTGTGGGAATCTTGTGGAAGGCTACCCAAAATGGTCCTCTGTAGCTCAATTGGTAGAGCATGGTGCTTGTAACGCCAGGGTAGTGGGTTCGATCCCCGGGACCACCCATACGTAAAAATGTATGCACACATGACTGTAAGTCGCTTTGGATAAAAGCGTCTGCTAAATGGCTTTATTATATTATTATTATTATTAAACAATTTAAAGGCAATGCTACCAAATACTAATTGAGTGTATGTAAACTTCTGACCCACTGGGAATGTGATGAAATAAATAAAAGCTGAAATCATTCTCTCTACTATTATTCTGAAATGTCACATTCTTAAAATAAAGTGGTGATCCTAACTGACCTAAGACAGGGAATGTTTACTAGGATTAAATGTCAGGAATTGTGAAAAAATGAGTTTAAATGAATTTGGCTAAGGTGTATGTAAACTTCCGACTTCAACTGTAGTAACCAAGAAAGTGATAAACAAATCCAAATATTTTATATTTGAGATTCTTCAAATAGCCACCCTTTGCCTTGATGACAGCTTTGCACACTCTTGGCATTCTTTCAACCAGCTTCACCTGGAATGCTTTTCCAACAGTCTTGAAGGAAAATAGTATGAAAAATGTATGCACTCACTAAAACTGTAAGTCGCTCTGGATAAGAGCGTCTGCTAAATTACTTTTTTTTAAAAGAGTTCCTACAGATGCTGAGCACTTGTCTGCTTTTCCTTCACTCTGCGGTCCGACTCATCCCAAACCATCTCAATTTGTTTGAGGTCGGGGGATTGTGGACGCCAGGTCATTTGACTCAGCACTCCATCACTTTCCTTCTTGGTAAAATAGCCCTTACAGCCTGGAGGTGTGTTGGGTCATTATCCTGTTGAAAAACAAATGATAGTGCCACTAACTGCAAACCAGATGGGATTGCGTATCGCTGCAGAATGCTGTGGTAGTCATGCTGGTTAAGTGTGCCTTGAACTCTAAATAAATCACAGACAGTCACCAGCAAAGCACCCCCACACCATAACACCACCTCCTCCATGCTTTACGGTAGGAACTAAACATGCGTCTCACAAAGACACGGTGGTTGGAACCAATAATTTCCACCGGTCTAATGTCCATTGCTTGTGTTTCTTGGCCCAAGCAAGTCTCTTCTTATTGTATTGGTGTCCTTTAGTTGTGGTTTCTTTGCAGCAATTTGACCATGAAGGCCTTTCACACAGTCTCCTTTGAACAGTTGATGTTGAGATGTGTCTGTTACTTGAACTCTGTGAAGCATTTATTTGGGCTGCAGTTTCTGAGGCTGGTAACTCTAATGAACTTATCCTCTGCAGCAAAGGTAACTCTGGGTCTTCCATTCCTGTGGTGGTCGTCATGAGAGCCAGTTTGATCATAGCGCTTGATGGTTTTTGCGACTGCACTTAAAGAAACGGTCAAAGTTCTTGGGATTTTCTGTATTGACTGACCATGTCTTTTTTAAAGTAATGATGGACTGTCGTTTCTCTTTGCTTATTTGAGCTCTTCTTGCCATAATATGTAAAGTTCAGACTTCAACTGTATGAATAATTAAAAATTCCTTTATATTAAGCATACGGGGCAATTTTGTTTTTAATTTATGGATAGCCAGGGGCACACTCCAACACTCAGACATGATTTACAAATGAAGCATTTGTGTTTAGTGAGTCCACCAGATCAGCGGCAGTAGGGATGACCAGGGTTTTTCTCTTGATACGCGTGTGAAATTGACTATTTTCTGTCCTGCTAAGCATTCAAAATGTAACGAGTACTTTTGGGTGTCAGGGAAAATGTATGGAGTAAAAAGTACATTATATTCTTTAGGAATATAGTGAAGTAAAAGTTGTCAAAAATAGAAATAGTAAAGTACAGATGCCCCAAAAAACTACTTAAGTAGTACTTTAAAGTATTTTTACTGAAGTACTTTCCACCCCTGCTTTTTAATTATTACTAGTGACTATGTGATATAGTATTAAGGCAGTTATGTTCCAAATGGCACCCTATTCCCTATATAGTGTACTCCTTTTGGTCAAAAGTAGTGCACTAAATAGGGAATAGGGTACCATTAGGGACTGAACCTGTGGCTACTAATTGTAGCCTCAGGTAGGGCCATCTTGGAGTATAGCCTCGAATCTCTCTTCAGGCTTACTGATGTGCGATACTGTAGTAGACAGCTCCAATTTGATTAGAGACATCATGATATTTCTTTACACCCCATCTCTCCCTTTATAGAGCTTTAGCGGCACTACACCAGAGACCATTGGGGCAAGGAACTACCAAGCAGGTAAGAAAATAATTGCTGACACTGAGTGTTAATTAGCCTGGTCCCAGATCTGTTTGTGCTCTTGCCAACTCCATTGCTCTCATTGTCAAGCCAAACCAATGTTTTGGCATGACAATGAGTGACAGAGTTGGCATGATGGCACAAACAGACTGGCACTCAGGCTAGGTGTTGATTGGAAGTGGAACCCGTTCTTAAATTCGAATGATATAAAGGCATTCACAACATTAGACGTAAGGTAGGCATATTTCGCCATTGGCTTCAATAGCTCAAGTGATAAAATACAATTTCAGGCTATAAGGTAAAGACTGTGCTGATTGTGTTCTTTCCTGACAGGCTACTCCATGTTTGGCGCTGGTCTTACTGTGGGCTTCTCCAACCTCTTCTGTGGCATCTGTGTTGGCATCGTTGGGAGTGGAGCCGCCCTGGCTGATGCCCAGAATGGCAGCCTCTTTGTCAAAATTCTTATTGTGGAAATCTTCGGCAGTGCTATTGGGCTATTTGGAGTGATTGTAGCCATCTTGCAGGTAACTGACATTCTTTTGACACAGTTTTCATCCCTTGATTGGTTGAATAGCATAATAATTATGTCATTCTATAGCTGATTACATCAACTGAATATAGGTTTGCTGCTTCTTGTTTTTCTTATTACATAATCAAATATGTATTTTCTCGTAGACGTCGAAAGTAAAAATGGGTGACTAGAAGATGTATCCGCAAGATATAAGATCAAGATGACAAGATCTATGGAAGATATTACTGGAGAAGCAGATGGATTGTGTAAATACATAGTAAATTATTGAAATGTCTTTTTGTCTGTGATTGTTTTTAACCATTTGCTGAAGTGACATATTTGCACCATTTTGTCTTAAAGGAATGCAACCGAAAGGTTAGATTAAACTGCAGGTGTTTAAGACAAAATCATATCCCTTTTGAATAAAATGTTATGTTCATATTACAGTAGTTGCAGGAAAAAAGTAATTCATCTCTAGCAAACCTCTTGGCATTCCCCACATACTTTTACTGTTGTATCAAATCAATTCTATTACAACTAGTAGTAGTAGGGACATTTTTAAAGCGATACTTCGGGAATTTGGCAATGAGGCCCTTTATCTACTTCCCCAGAGTCAGATGAACTCGTGTTTACCATTTTTTTGGATACCATTTTAATGTGTCTGTGTCCAGTATGAAGGAAGTTAGAGTTTAACAAGCCAATGCAAATAGTGTTAGCACAATGACTGGAAGTCTATCGGTACAGTATCTACTAGCATGTGTACAGTATAGCATTTGTTACCCATGATGAAATAATGGAATGCCACTATTATATAATAACAGCTAAGGTACCCAAGTTTGGTTTGACATGACTGTGTTCTCTGGTGGTGGGTATGTGAAAATGCTTGCTTTTCCGTAAAGAGCTGTTCTGTTCATTACATGGAATTGTGATAAATGGCTGTAAAAATCTGTTTGAAGTATTGAACTGTTTGTATGGTAAAGTCATAAGGTATAACAAAGCAAATGATTATATTTATGACTAATGTAATCCATAATGTTTTTCACTAGTTTCAGTTACTATATATTTATCCATGACTGGTGTAAGTAACCAGTACTATAGTAACACTAAATGAATCAAAATGTATTGATACAAAGGTGATCTAAAGAGATATTACACTGAATCTGTAATTGTTGGATGTTTGACATTAGTCAGCTGTCATTCATTTAATTTGTGTTGATGTATACATAACATTTTGGTAGGCACTCTTCAGTTCTGATTGGTTAAAAATTAGAATAGTACATTTGTGTGTGAGTATATTAAGGGTCTGTTTTTTGTGAACTATGAGGGTGTTTACCATTCTATATACCTTTGCTTGGGTTGTCAGATTTTTTTGTTGTTGATGCAAGTCGTCTTTATCCACAGTGAGTGAACTGTGGCTGAATATACATGTATATGATTTTAAGTGACCATATATTATGTTTTTGCTCTTTCCTTCTCAGGTCTGTAACCCCCTGTTAACTATCTATCTGTGGAGAGTGAGAAATGTAGCTGTTTTCCTCAAGATCGTGTATATTTTCTGCTTTCTTTCTGTTTTTGTGTAACTTTGAACTTGAATGCTCCAAGCTCCTTGTCTTGTGAATGGGCTAACATACATTTATTATTTTGGAGAGATGGTACTCGAGCAGAACATCGATAAGAACTTCCTCAGACCGGTTGGCCTTTTTCTTAGTCATTATTTTTATTTTTATTTTTATATCTAGTGAATTAGCTGCAAAATCTATGTCCACCTGTGCTACTGATTTTAAGACATTTAGATTGAGCCCTTAAAAGTTAAATACAATCCTTGAGTCTATTGTCATAAACTGGCATCCATTTAATATTCATAACATCCAATTTGCTGCGACCATGTGTTCGTCCCAAATTTCGCCCTATTCCCTACACAGTGCTCTTAAGTTTGACCAGAGCCCTATGGGTCCTGGTCAACAATAGTACACTATATATAGGAAATAGGGTGCCATTTGAGATGCACTTATGACTGTGTATAGTTATGGAGGGCTCACACTGAGTCGTTGTCCCCCTCCTTACCAATCATTTATGTACAAGATGTATTTTTATCTGGTTTCTTTTTAATGTAAAAGTTCATAGTGTTCATCCATGGAGATGGATGGTTTGACTAGTCCCTATGGCAAAAGCCTAAACAACATTTGGAATAGTATTTCGAGTGGGTTTCATACATTGATTCAGCGGTGTTCATTCCTTTCTTTTGACCATTCCTTAATGGACCTTTGGTGAAATACAGGTGTGACCTTCCTGGTCCTGGAGAGCATCAGTACTGAAGCGTTTCAATGTATAACATTTGGACTGTAAGTTCAACTGTTGTTGGTTTCAAAGTATGCTGCTTGAGAGAGGGCCATGAATGCACATGGCTTATGTTGAGACTCTCTAGGTCCTTGGTTGGCCACCTGTACTGTAGTGGTATGTCATTCATGTAAATGAAGATCATGCCTCTGGCTTTAGTGACTGTGTTTAATATGTTGTGGTGAATCCATTGTTTTGACATGTGTAAAAGTGGGTCCGCTTGACTTAATTGTCCTTGAAAGAATAAAGTACTCCAAACTGACAGTTCAATCAAATTTATTTTATAAAGCTCTTAACATCAGCTGTTGTCGCAAAGTGCTTTTCAGATACTTGGCCTAGACCTCAAAGAGCAAGCAAAGCAGAGGTGAAATCAGTGTCCAGGAAAAACTCCCTAGAAGGAAAAAACAGAGGAACCTGGCTCATAGGTATGACCAATCCTCTTCTGGTTGTAAGCAGTTTATTTATTTTTATTTTGGTTCTGTAATGATGTTCCTTATGTCCCAGTCCCACTCTTTTGTCTATAATTTTTACCCAATAGATGGCGCTATATAGTAAGTAATTTGTACATTTACTTGTGGACCTATCACACCTTATGCCTCTGCCTTATTGCTTAATTTACAAAAGTGTGGGCAGCAACATTTGCTATATTAATTCATTGACTTTTATTGACAAATTGTACCCCATAAAAGTAACGATATTACATTTACTGTAGTCATGTCTTTTTAGCTGCAGACTGCAAGATATATGCAATGATATGGGACCTAGTGTAAACTCCCTCTGGTGGGAGAATACCCGGGAGTTTGGACCAACTGAGGCTCCGTACTGAAGAGAGCAAGATGAACCTGCTACAGCCTCCTTTTTGCTTCATATCCACAGCAAACCTAACGGATTGACAGAATTATGAAGATAGAAGATTTACTGCCCTATATTTGGCATATTGTCCTCCTTAAATGATCTAAAAAAATGAGGCATTCATATCTGCCATGTCTGTTACATGGCAAAACGTTATTATCAGTGTCTGCACGAAAAATGAAATGACCGATTTTATCATCAGAAATAAAACGCGCTCCAAGCTTTATTACGTGCAGTTTTTGTGAGGGATTTTAGTTATTTTAGTTTTTTTAAATGCCATTTACAGATTCCATATAAAACTTGGTGCAACAAAGAGAAAATGCATTCATAGAAGAGCGGAGGATTGCTTGGCACCTCAAGGTAAGAATATATTCTATTTAATTTGTTAATCACATTTCGTTCTTTTGTGTACCTTGTATTTTTTAATTTAGCCTGCCATTTTGATTCTAATTTATTATCCCATACATCTGCATTTTAGATATTTGTGGTTATTTATGTTTTATTATACAATTTGCTTTGTTGTCATGCACATTTTGCTGAAGCATCCTAGACCCGCGATTCTATATGCATTTGTAATGTCCCTTTTTTCAAGTGACCCACACGTTCGATAACATTATTTCAAGAAGCAGAAAGGTCCTTGGAAGCAGCGATGGAAAGATCCATCCGGGCAGCATGCAGTGCTGCTCTTGCGCTGTCCACTGGTATCTACACTGAACAAAAATATAAACGCAACATGTAAAGTGTTGGTCCAATGTTTCATGAGCTGAAATAAAATATCCCAGAGATGTTCCATACGCACAAAAAGCTTATTTCTCACATTTTGTGCACGAATTTGTTTACATCCCTGTTAGTGAGCATTTCTCCTTTGCCAAGATAATCCATCCACTTGACAGGTGTGGCATATCAAGAAGCTGATTAAACAGCATGATCATTCCACAGGTGCACCTTGTGCTGGTGACAAAGGCCTCTCACAAGTTTTGTCACGCAATAGAATGTCACAGATGTCTCAAGTTTAGAGGGAGCATGCAATTGACATGCTGACTGTAGGAATGTCCACCAGAGCTGTTGCCAGAGAATTGAATGTTCATTTCTCTACCATAAACCGCCTCCAACGTTGTTTTAGAGAATTTGGCAGTACTTCCAAACGGCCTTACAACCTCAGAATGTGTGGGTGAGCGGTTTACTGATGTCAACGTTGTGAACAGAGTGCCCCATGGTGGCGGTGGGGTAATGGTATGGGCAGGGATAAGCTACGGACAACGAACACAATCGCATTTTATCGGTTGGCAATTTGAATGCATAAAAATACCGTGATTAGATCTTGAGGCCCATTGTTTTTAAGATATCTGTGACCAACAGATGCATATCTGTATTCCCAGTAATGTGAAATCCATAGATTAGGGCCTAAAGAATTGATTTCAATTGACTGATTTCCTTATATGAACTGTAAAGTCTTTGAAATTGTTGCATGTTGTGTTTATATTTTTGTTCAGTGTAGTTATAAGATGTTGACATGTAGCTGAAATTATAATTGTGTAGATAGGCGATTGCAAATAAACTCACGAAATGGAGACCTATTTCTATACAGCCATTTTCATTTAAGTGTGTGTGTGTGTATGTATGTACAGTTGAAGTCGGAAGTTTACATACACCTTAGCCAAATACATTTAAACTCAGTTTTTCACAATTCCTGACATTTAATCCTAGTAAAAATGCCATGTCTTAGGTCAGTTAGGATCACCACTTTATTTTAAGAATGTGAAATGTCAGAATAATAGTAGAGAATGATTTATTTCAGCTTTTATTTCTTTCATCACATTCCCAGTGGGTCAGAAGTTTACATACACTCAATTAGTATTTGGTAGCATTGTCTTTAAATTGTTTAACTTGGGTCAAGCGTTTCGGGTAGCCTTCCACAATCTTCCCACAATAAGTTGGGTGAATTTTGGCCCATTCCTCCTGACAGAGCTGGTGTAACTGAGTCAGGTTTGTAGGCCTCCTTGCTCGCACACGCTTTTTCAGTTCTGCCTACAAATGTTCTATAGGGTTGAGGTCAGGGCTTTGTGACGGCCACTCCAATACCTTGACTTTGTTGTCCTTAAGCCATTTTGCCACAACTTTGGAAGTATGCTTGGGGTCATTGTCCATAAGACCCATTTGCGACCAAGTTGTAACTTCCTGACTGATGTCTTGAGATGTTGCTTCAATATATCCACATAATTTTCCTTCCTCATGATACCATCTATTTTGTGAAGTGCACCAGTCCCTCCTGCAGCAAAGCACCCCCACAGCATGATGCTGCCACCCCTGTGCTTCACGGTTGGGATGGTGTTCTTTGGCTTGCAAGCCCCCCTTTTTCCT